CAATCTATTTTTTTTCATATGACCCTCTCTACAGTCGAGGGAATAATGTAATTCATAGGTATAATTATTCTTGGAACTAGTAGATTCATATTCAAATATGACTAAGTGAGTCTGAATCTTTGACAATTACACCTGTTGATGGTAAACGATCAGTTAACCATTGCATAAGTTCATCTTTATATGATGTTGTTTCGTTACAAAATTCATCATCGTTCATGAATAATGATATGTCTTCAGAATCGTTTTCATCTTCACATCTAATGCTCGAAAATATTTTTAACGAAAATAATAACACTTTGATGATTTTTCACTTCAATGGAAAGTACTCCCCACCGAACAACTAATTATGATTGAGCCAATATCATACATTCTTCCCCATTGAATCGATCTTTAAAGTTTTTGAAATAGAGTCTACGAATTGATGCATTTGTATATTTAAATAATGCCATTTGTAAAGGTAATGATGCATTTTGTTCGATGGTTAGTACGTTCAGATGAGGCGCTCGATCAAATAATACTTGCAATTGAGGATGAAAAGTATCAGCAAGAGATAACACTGTAAATGAGTCTAGTTTGGCTAAACTTCGAACAATAGACCAAAATTGAGCATTGAAAAGAAAGTTTATCCAAAGATGATGATTTTCAAATAAATGAATATTGGATGGAACCGATTGACCCCAAATTGTTTCGTCTAAGATGCAAGTCTTCTTATCATAAAACTCTCGATGATCATCACGAAGGACTTGTTCCTGCATATTTTCATATGCAGTACATTTATCTCTCATAGTTAAACGAAGTACTTGGAGTTTTTGTAAATAATTACGAATAATTTGTTCCCATTGATGATTATTGATTGTATTATTCATAAAACGAATATCTAAACGTTGTAGATTCGATATATCTTACGAAGAGGAAATCATTTCCGAAGCATTGGACATATAAACATGACTAACCCTCGAATTAATTAGTGTTGGTAAAGGAGAGGTTATACAATTATCATCGTGGCGCATAATAATAAATATCTGAAAACATTTGAGACGAGATGTGTATTCCAACAATCGATTTCTTTCATTCCATTTAAGTTCACTCCCATATATATATATATGCCTATATAAGTACCTTTTTGTCAAATAGGTAGAGAACTGCGGGACCACCTTTTTTAGTCCCGATCCCAGTTCCAGTCCTTTACGAACATGATCCAATTTTTAAATTAGTTTATTATTTTATTGTTCGGAAGTGTGCGACATCTAATGTCTATACATCAGATTCGACACCTGTTAGACCGTCTATTATCTGTCTGCATGATTCTATCAAAAGCATATGATAAATGAATTCATATACATCGTTGATTGTTGTTTTTATCAATAAGAACGTTTTACATTGAATATTAATAAAAATTGATATCATCATCTAATTCTTAAAAAGACAAACGATAATATCAATCATGTATAACAAACAGCAAACTACAGAAATGATTAAGAATAAAAATTCTGCTCTCAAGTTTCCTAAACCAAACAAAGTAACCAATGCAAAGTGGGATAATTATTTACAAATTTTCGTTGATAATGTGCGACAACATTTTATAACATGTGTAAATTGTCGATCTATTTTGATATGAAAGTCAGCTAATGGAACAAATGTGATGGAGAAACATGATAAAGGATGCAAAAAAGCGTCACCATCGTCAATTACACAACAGACAATTGTATCATTTCGCTCAACAAATAATGAAAATGAGCAACATCTTATTTGTTTAAACAAAAGAAAAATTACAAATACGACGACTGTATGTTGTGCATTGGACGATTTACCGTTTAATTCAGTGTAGGGAGATGGATTTCGTGTGTTAGTTCAAGACTTGACGAAAGGTGGCCAAAAATTTGGTTCAAATGTTTCTGTCAATGATGTTTTACCTGATCCGACGACGGTAAACAAAATTCTTACATTAATGACCTCGTAGATTATTAAACTTCACATTCTTTAGAAACTGACAAAATTTATACAATACGTAAAGAATAATTAAAATCATTTTTAATAACAATTGATCATTATGCAATTATTGTAGATTTTTGGGCGGAACAATATACGAAAGTTAACTTTGGTGATGTTGCATTACACACATATTCATCATCTCATGGTTTACTTGTGTTTCTATTGACGTGCAGACCGTATGATTTACTAGATCAAACGGCAAATAATATTCGTTTATTTACAAACTGTGTATTAGAATCATATGATTTAAAGCGAGGTAAATTACAATATGTAGTAAGTGACAATGAAAATAAAATGCGTGCTTCATTTAGAGAAAGTTCTATTCGTGTCGGATGTGCAGCATATTTCTTAAATAAGATTGTTGAACATGTTTTATGTAAATCTGGTATTGATTGTGACGATATTCAACGAATGTTCAATAATATTCATAACCTTATCATACATATACGACGGCCCCATAATCAATTAAATTTATTAAAAAGGTTACAAGTTTTATCGAAAACCAGGTGGAATAGTTCCTATGACAGGATATCAAGTTTTATAGCCGTTTATCCAGAATCAAATGGCATTATAACAGAAAAAGCACAAGAGAAGCATTAGTTCGAATCGATTTTAATGATTTAATGGCATTTGCTAAATATTTTAAGTATTTTGTTAATATAACGGTACTATTAAATGCTAAAAAACTCCAACTATTCATTTAGTCGTACCAGTGAAGCAACATCTGATTGATTTATCACAACAAGATAAAGCTGAATCACAATCAATTAAAAATATTCAAAAATATATTCAAAAACAACTTTTAGAATATTGGGACATTGATGACATTCATTATATTGCTGTCGTATTGCACCCGAAATTTAAACATTTACATATATGTTCAAACGATCAAAGACAAAAAAGGCCTATGATTTAATAAAAATAGAGATACAAAAACGGTGTGATAAGCCACAGCTCAATTGTAGAGACAGACATTGCTTCAATGATTGCTCTGTACAATCTGTTTTTTCTACTTATATTTTAGTTCAACAAGTAGTTGCACCAGTTAATTCAACAGTTCTATTGTCATCCGCAACAATAAATTATTCATGAACAAATGCAAATAATTTATTATCTTCATGTTATGATCAAGTTGATGAATCTAAACCTAAAATCGATGTTAATGAAGAATTTGAATGACATTTAAAATCAAATGATTCATTTTATATGACGATGAAGATCTATTTGCATTTTGGGAACGACAAAATGATTTATATCCAATCCTTTATTTGATCGCTCGTGATGTTCTCATCGTATCTGCTACAAACACAGCAGTTGAACGTTTATTCTCTGCTAGTGAAAATTCAATAACAGAAGCACACACACGTTTGTCGGCACAAAAAGTGGATAAATTAATGTTTATAAAAAAAAAACTTCTTGTTTTTAAAAAAAGTATTTGTTGATAATGGAACAACGCCTTTACTTATTATTAATTCTGGTACAACAGCAAGTAAAGGTGAAAAACGATGACATGAACAGTTATCAGCATACAATGACGATTTTGAAGATATAATTAATGATAACGATGATGAAATATCGTAAAGATCATGTGTGTTGCAAAATATGAACAGTTGTTACGACTTTCATGTACATGCTTTCTCTTATTGTTTTGAAACTTTCAGTGTTTATTTGTCGATATTCTCATTATATTGTAATATTTTGAAATAAACGTAGCTCAATTGTCACTTGAGAATGAAAGAATAAATTCATAAACAGCGATTCTAATTTTTATTCAAATAGAATTTTGTGTAACCTACTAAATCTGTATTCAGTCCCGGTCGAAATTATTATTAGTCCTGAATTTGGTCCCGCCGGGACGAAGATAGGAACTGTTTTGCAGTTTCCTACAAATAGGGTCGGCTGGGGTTTATTGTTCTTTATTTCCATCAAGCCTCACCCTAGCTGAAGAAAGATATACTTTATATTAATAGGTCCACTAAGCTCCCCCTTACTTATAAAAAGGTGTCCCTTTAGCTATTACAACCAGTAGATCTGCGAAGTCCAACCCTAGTCGAAAAACGATGTGTCAAATACCTTTATAGTCATAGTCACTAAGACCTGGTATTATAAAAACAGGGCTGCTCGTGCTTACATCCACCAGACCCCGTTTTCATACTGAAATGAGGTGCATTTTTTAGTTTTGAATTCAGAGATAATTCAAATAGACCATTGTAACTTATGTTGTCGTTGCCTACCTATTTTACAATCTGTGAGCAAACAAGTAATTACAAAATTGAAAGAAATTTATGACACACGACAAATATAAATGCAGTCAAACGAAAACGAATCCTAACTATACGTACGAAATAACATATATACTTTTCAGAGTAACGCACAAGTCAACAGTTTTCATCGATGTCGAATAAAATTACTATGTCTCTTCATACATTACCGGTAGAACTGATCTATCGGATTCTTGACAAGCTCGATGTACTCGATATTTTCTGGTCATTACGAAACGTTTGTACGCGTATCAACACAATCGTGGATACGTATTATCCATATCAGGTAAACTTCTTTATAATTTTCATCATCTTCAAAACATATTACAGCGGGAAAAAATAGCAGTTACTCACTCATTTACTGTGAGCCATTTTTGTTGTTCTGTCACTAGTACGGGACGAGTGGAAGAGAAAAATAGCTCGATTTTTTTCCTGGCGTAACCTTATATACGAAGCTTATAGAATGGAAGAATGAATTATCTCTTGAATTCGCCACGTACGAGTGGTAAAACGTCAAAAGTGACTCCATAGACAGATAGGACCCAAAACTGCCTTAAAACAAGTAATTTTTTTCTAGATTTACGCGGTTTTAATAGTTTATCCAACGACTCGGCCACTTGAGTTCCATGAAAATGAGAATCTTTCGTCCGATAAATTGGAGTATTCGTAATTTTTGAGAAAACTACAAACATCCAACTTTGTAAAACCCCATATAAGTCACTCTTATGAACATCTATACCTCGGAGAGTTATGTGTACAAACATCCACGAACACCCACTTTCTATGAGTATTAGGGAAAAAATCGTCAACAAACACTAAAAAAAACGACCTCCTCAAGACTAACACACAGAATCTCTCTTATATTCCACAGAAACATCCCAACTTGTCCTTATGAATATCCACAGAACTCCATACCTTACATTGTGACGCGAATATGCGTCATCCTCGAATAGCTTTTTCTGAGAAACTTTTCATTGGAAACACGTAAGAGAGATCCAAATGGGTTAGTATATTTTTACTAACACCTAAAACGTCCGTACTAGCAAGTCGATAGCGCCCAACTTACTATCACTCATACCCATAGAAACATACAATCTACCTACTGATATACGATTGAATAAGCTTCTTAAGCATATTTCTGTCAAAACCACTTCAAAAAAAGAAATCTCGAACTAAAAACGCCCTTTTAAAAAATTCTTTAAAAATGCATAGAAAAATTCATTAACGCCTTAAAGCGTTCACTTCATCGGTCGATACCATTCACTATATATTCATTCCCGCTCATGAATAGATGTAATTCATATATTGGCAAACAACTCAAAATATGATCCTATGATTTTACTTCAAAAATATCTTAAAAGTACCAAAAATCGCGTTTTCTTCTGTACTATAATCACAGAGTTAAGATTGAAAATGGTACGTGTTTACTTTTTAAACTATCTTCTATATATTGATTGGCTATACACTGTACAAACACAACATTATTACGACGCTTCACAGTAAAAACATATTCTATTTATAAAGTTTATAAATTTACTTTCAGATGTCAAAATCAGGCAAAAATTCTCAAAATATGTACAATTTTCTGACTGATTATGCTTGTATTTTCACTT